AACATCACGTTCTGGTAGTAACTTTGATGGAATAGCAGTTTTTAATGAAGGTTTTCCTACAAGCGTGCAGAAAACGCGTTTTCAAGCACCGATTTGCGTGCGGAAAGTATCACTTTGTCGCACAGTGTGCGTGAAAAAAAAAAAAAAAACAGACCGGCGTGCGCGATAAAAGTTTTTCCACACAGATTTTTTTTTTCGAAATTACGTTCCTCCGTTCTTTCTCTTCAAGAAAGATATTAACTTTTTGTACTGACCAATATCGACATCTTCAATGAGTTTTACCTACGAACATGTGGAAAGTGCACTTTACCGCACCGATTCGCAAATAGAAAGTAGCACTTTACCGTACACTATGCGGTTGAGTTACTTTACCATATAGTGTACGGTAAAGTTAACTTCACCGCATAGTGTATGGTAAAGTAGACTGCAAAGTGTGAGATAATAGTTATTTACCTAACAAATGCGGAAAGTGATACTTTACCGCACGCAATGGCAAAAAAAGACGGTAAAGTAACTTCACCGCATAGTGTGCGGTAAAGTGCCACTTTCCATTTGCAAATAAGTGCGGTAAAGTGCACTTTACCGCACGCTCGTAGGTAAAGTTACTTTACCGCATAGAGTGCGGTAAAGTAGATTTTGATATTTTTAATCAAAAATCCCTTCTCTTCTAGGAAAGGGATTTTTGATCATTTTTAAATTCAATCTAATTTCATTAATTAATCTGAATCGTTAATTAATTTAATCTACGTCGGTGTCATTATGACACATTTAGCATTGTCATTTGAATGTCATTAGGTCCTTCATAATAGCACTAGTGCGTTTAAGAATTCATAATGACACCCAAATTTTGAAATGAAAAATATACAAAAAGAAAGTTAGTTGCCAGAAGAACCTTTTCAATAATGCTGTCTCTATATTCGAAGAGACACTTTCGAACTCAGATTCACCAATAATAATATTATTTTCCACCTTAAAATTGAATTTATGGCACAAAAATGGACTCCAATATTGAAGCTGCCAAAGTCAAAATTCTAAAAACCAACAAGCAGGTTCTCGACTTGTCCGGGCACCTGCTAAATTTCGAATTTTAATTTGAAAAGTTTTTGCTATTTCAAGGCAAATCAAATCTATTTGAACCATTGTAGATTAAATTTTGAATGATACACGTTCGATATGAACTTTATTAATGAAACTTGTGTAACTAAACCACTCGGCTAACGCCTCGTGGTTTAACGTTACACGCGTTTCATTATGGCGTTCATATCGAACTTGTATCATTAATAACTATTATTACTGCCTTTTCTTGGAGATGTAGATGCTCATAGGTAAAATGTTGTGCCTAACACATGCGGAAAGTGCCTTAACGGCTTGACCAAACTGCGCTTGCGTGCGATAAAGTATCATTTTCCGCATTTGTTAGGTAAATAATAAATAATAAATTAAATAGTATTTTTGATACCCATTAGAATAATTATTCCATCCTTATTTATCAATCACGAATTAGATGAAATAAAATATTACCAAGAAAAACGAACTTCGATTGCTAATACGTCAATAATTGACGTATTAGCAATCGATTTCATGTACAAATAGGAAATTATTTTTATTTGTGTGTTCAAGAAGCGACATACGTTTTAAAAATTCTATACTTCTTCTAATTCCTAAAAAATCAAATTTTTGACCATTTCTTTTAGGATTAGTAGATCCAAAAACAAATAAAAAAACAATATGTCAATTTCCGCACGCTCGTAGAAGAAATATTGTACCTAACACGAGCGTAAAGTATCTTTTCCGCACTAACGGCTTGCCGCTGCGTGCAGAAAAGTATAAGTTTCCGCACTTGTTAGGTAAATAACTATTTTCGGACAAAGTGAATGAGTTTTCATTAAAGTGTGCAGAACATATTCTGACAATTCTGTTAGCCGCTTCGAGTGTTAATTTTGTGTGCTTATCTATGTTCTGCAACAAAGCCTAAAATGTCTTTCCATTGCTGACACCTTAAAAAATATATGATTGCGTTTTAATTTTATCAAATCGCAAAAATTTCGAATAAAATTTACTACACTTTTTGCTTGGCGCACCCGATATAGAACGCGATGCAAGCCACCCGGTAACTGAAGGCATAGACGAGGGTCCTCTTGAGCAGGGAAACCATAGGCTAGAAGTAGCGCGTCGGCAGGAGGGGAATTTTAGGCGACGAGCGAGAGTGAGCGGACTTGTTCGAGGATCTTTAGACTTTGGTTAATCTTATTCATATTGTTGCTTTGCTTGTTTGAGTTTTGAGTTCTATATTCCTGGTAAGACTGGGGAGTTTTGAGATTTGGGTTAGAGGTTCCTCTTCTTTTGAATTTGTTTGAACTGGTAAGGGTTTATTCACGGTTTTTGAGGATTTATTCTAGTATTACGCATGGGAATACTTTGTTGAATGATGGTGTTTATATTTGCTATACATGTGTCCATGGTACTTAGAAACTCCGTTTCGGATATTTTTTAGTTTATATTGTCGTAATTGGCTTTCCAAAAATTACGTTTCCTGATTTTCTTCGTTGAACTTGGTTTTACCCAATTGGTCACAGTCATCATGTTGTAGTGAACGCTGTAGCGCAGATAATGTTGATCGTTTCTAATTCTGGTGTTGAAATCTATTATTTCTTTAACATTGTTCTCTACGTGAAAATTTAGGAATTCTTGTGCTGGCCGATTTTGTTAGTTTAGTGAAAGAGTTTTCCAGTCTATTTATCTATAATTAAAGTCTCCTAACACTATAGTGCTGGTCGGGAATTCGAACACTTGTTTAAGGTACATACTTCAAAAGTTCTCTGTTTCTATAGGTATATGTCTTGCGGTCTGTATATGCATGCTAAAGAGAGCTTAAGTGTTGCGAGTGTGATATCCAATAAAATCGCATCAATACCATCAGGCGGTTGGAATCTCTGGTTTAATGCTACTGTGGGTTTGACACCTGCAATGCTTTCGTGTACATAAATTATAACTCCACCCCCTTTTCTGTTTTCTCTCTCTTTTCGAAATAAGAAATAATTTGGTATGCCTACCATTGCATCAGGAACGTCCTTGTATAGCCAGGACTCCGTTACTGAAATAAAAGCTGGTTGTTTAAGCAGACTTTCAACATAGAATTCATCAAACTTCGACAGAATAGAACAAGTGTTGGTGTATAGGAACAATACTCCAGATACATTTGCGTTCAGTTTTTTGGATGGCTTTGTTTAACTTTGGTTATTCTGTGAGTATCATTACAATACTTAATTACAAGATCATCCTCCCCTTTGTTTTTCCTTTCGTTTAGCTCTTTATATACTTGCTTTAGATATTTCCTCTGCGCTACAGTTTGGTCAAACTTTATGTAGTATTTTCATTTGAGAGTTTCCTCTTCCGTTTTGGAAATTTGTGAGCTACTTCTCTTGATGAAAATAAGACCTAATTGGTCGAACTCTATCAGGTATAGTCTGGCAAGTGGTAACTTGGTAGAGACGAAAGGGGGAAGAAAACTGGGGCGTTACCTAAAAATATATTTCGCAATGTTGCCTGATTTTTTCCTATTTCAAAATATTACACATATAGCAAAAAAAAAAAATGACACCAACTTGTTTATTATTTTGTTTCTAATTTCCGTCAAGTTTGGCAAAGCAGCAAATTCTTTTGCAGTTCGCCGTTTCGCTAGCCAGACAATACATATCTATCCAATCTGTAGAATGTGAACTCAATATTTTCGGTACCATTTTCCTTCAGAACTTCCAAGATGTCAGCCTTTTCCTGACAGCCTTTGATCTCTGTTTTCTGCATTAATCTCTCGGATTCCAAAAATCAGCATATTTTTAAATCTCTCTTCTCTGTCTCTAAGCTCGATTACTGTTGGCTCGATTTGGATGCTTGCATCTTTCAGGTGAGTTTGCTGCTTTAATAGAATCGGCAAACTTTTCATTGATTAATTCTTTCAGGTCATCTATTTGTTTTTTGTGACTGTTTCTCTGTTGTTTTCTAGTTCCTTATAGAATCTGTGAATATTCTTTGATATTGCAATTTAATTTCGCTTTACAATTTTTTTAATTTCTTGTGTTCTCGCTCTCGCACAAATATTTTTTCAAAATTCTCAAAATGCATAACCATTTTTTGAATCACTTTCAACTGTTTTTCCAGCTTGCTTAAGTGCTGAAATTTCTATGATGTTTTTAGTAATCTTCTTCAGACATTCCACACAAAAAAAGTTCAGCACATTTGATTAAGTAGTTGCAGCTGTGATTTCACTGGCTGATATGGATGAGCATTTTCTACAGACAACCTTCTTACACGAGTCACATGAGCAACCAAACTTCTCCTCGAGTTCCTTGTTTGTTGTGACCTCTATAAACTAGCAAATTTTGTTGCATTGTGAGCAATTTAGACCGGTAGACATTCTGAGTAGATCAAATCATCAATGCACCAAGTTCAGTGGAATTTTCCAATCAAACACTTAAAATGATCATAGGCTAGAAATATTTTCACTTACTTAGTTCAGCTAAAATACCTCAAAACCCAGAGTTATGACTTGGTGCTGGTGGCTCCCAAACTATAGTTCAAATTATCAATGTTTGTTTACTTTACCAGATGTTTATTTGGCCTAAGGACATAAATTCTCAAACACAGATAAAGATAAAATTGAAGTATAAAGCCGCGCACAGACCTAATTTCCAACGCTAGCCAACGGCACATGGGAACTATGTTGGAACGCGTGGGCTTTGGTATGTACAGCGGTGTGGACGATGTTCTCAAATCCTTTACACTGCTCTCTGATTCCAACGCCAATGACAGCACATGTGCCGTTGGCGTTGGTCTACGTTGGAAATTCGGTCTGTACGCGGCTTAAGAAATGCTTCAGCCAAGGCTTCAGCTAATAATAAAGAATTGAATTAGTCCAGAAGTTGAACCAATAGACGCCTTTGGTAGATTGCTATAAATTAATACTTACATAAAAGTCATTATGTATTTATTTTTATTTTTAGAGGAGGAATATATCCACCAGGAGCTGCATTTGCTAAAACATCTCTGATAAAGCAACTAAACGAAAACGAGGTTACTTTCAAAATATTGTCTCAGGAAGACATCAAAAATTAAAATCGTAATAATCAACATAAAAATATTTGCAGCTATTTTAACAAAGCTTAAATCACATTTGAGCTTATATTGCCTATTATTGTGAGAAAGCACATATGCTTTTGTCTCGTGTGTGTTTTATCCTAACTGTAGATTTTAAGGATTATTAAAATATTTTGCTAATCGGAAGATGTTGAGAGTTTGAAGCCGTCGCTAGAAGACTGAAAAAAAAATTAAGAAGGCTGAGAAATGGAAAACTTATTTTTTTGGAGATTATCTTTTACCTAATTACTATGTTGAATGTTTCTATATTACATTAATTTTATTAAAACAAATTATATTTATGGGAAATTACGCATTTTTATTTCAAATAAATAAAACCCCATTATTGGAACAAGATTCATAATTTCCTTGATAATTTCATAACAATTCAAGTGAATGCAAAAACATAAAATCAACTTTGTCCTTATCACATTATTATGTACTCAAAACAACATTATTTCTGTTTTCATCCTAAATTAAATGCATTATATGCTTTAAAACTATTCCAACCATCAATGCATGTATCTGTCTATGTAATGTATTGTTTCAAAAACAACTTCCACCATAATTAGTATGATAATCATCCATTCTAAGCGAATATGATGTTTATCTCCAAGATGATGAGAAAGTAGTTCTATTAGGGCTACACAGTGGTTGATTTTTTCATTCATAACCTGGTAATGAAATTCATAGAAAAATTATTAGGTAAATACAAAATTAAAGTCAACTCTTACCTTTGTTCGCTTGTTGATACAAAAATAAACACAAACTTGATTGTACAGATTTTCTAATTGTTCATTTTCCCAATAAAAATCAGGCGTGTCCAAAACATCTGAACTTAAATTGAGATAATGCCTCAATGCAAATAATTCACCGTGTTTCCTTAAGGCTTCTTGTCTGGACATTTTAATCCTTTTACCTCTAAAAATTATATACATACTTAAAAACCAAGCTTTTTTGAAACATGACATCTATACCTTTTCAAATCCTCTGTAACCTCCTCAATTTCCTCAATATATTTTTGCAAGGATGCTTCCCATATGCTCAATTTTACAGATAAGAACATGGCATTTGAAAATGTGTATTTGACTAAAGTCAAATTTTCATTTTCCATTTGGCGATTCAATACAAAGTTGCCATCTTTGTCTAAGCAACTAGGTTTACTATGAAAATCATTTTTTTAAACTTATTTCAATGCACACATAATTTTCACTCACTTTTCTTCAACTTGATATTTATAGTTCATGATTTCACTTTCAGCCTGTACCAATCTTTCCGAATAACTATCTTGTTCATATTTTCTCACAAAATTTAATACATTGCTACTTTCTAAATCGGTTATATTCCATAGAACCACACCACCTTCCCTGAAGAAGAAAATTTCTCTTGGTTCTTTCTCAACTTTATATTTTGCAAACTAAAAATTTACTCTAGCATATATTTCAATTTTTGAGTAAATAATATTATACTTACTGCATGTACGACATCATTTTCATTTGGTATAGACTTTGGTTCATATAACTCCTGCTTTTGTAAGCCGCTTATAAGATTTTCCAAGTCGTACTCCTCTGAAGTTGCAAAAGCGACTACGTTGAAAACACCTGGTGTAACTTGCTCGTCTTCTAAGGATTTCTTCTTACGTATAGGCCTCTTTTTGACTTGTATCGATGTAATGGTCTCATGGGGGCTACTGGCTAGAAATCTTGGCGAAAATTGAGGATTATTCAGGTGTTTTGTTGAGGGTTTCGGTACAAATTTGGATTTGAAGCTGCTTATGGAAAATACTGATGGTTTGGTGGAGAAACTTTGTGCGATTTGCTTGAGAGGGATAAATTTGAGAATGGAAACAGATCTATGTGAGAAATAGAAGGTCATTTTGTAGAAGAAACTAAAATACAAAACACAAGAAAAAAAGTGGAAAAGTTCGGGTTCAGTTTAAAAAAGTGTGGTTATGTTCAATTGTCATATGGCTTTCCATAGCGTTTTCGAATGGTAGAACTGGTGCAATGATCCGATGGAATTCGGATATATTTTCCAAAAAATGCCACGGAATTTCCACATTTCTGAATCTCGTATATTGGTCGGTGGTCTCAAAGCAACCAAATCCGCAACCCACAAATTATTAATCACTCGAACTTGGTTCAAATTCAGTGGTGTCCTATGCACCTGCAATTTTTCGGAAAGATAACTACGATCCAGTGGCGTATCACTTTACTTTTTATTCAACATTTCATAAAATTATATATTTAATATTTTTTTCATAGGTATTTATCAGTTTATCACTCAAAATTTGTAATAATATTAAGAATTGTGTATAACAATACAGATGGTACTCTTACTGAAAACCATTTTGGATTTCAAGTATGTAAGGTATGTAATCCATTATCTAAATCTTCAGCTTCAGTTTTGCATTCAGATTCAGATTCATTTTCTTCTTCCGTAGAACTCTTCAAAGACACTATTTCCTTTCTCCTAGGCAAAATCATTTCAAAAGCTTCTTTAAAACTTTTCCCTTCGCTAACCCTAAGCAATATTTCAAATACTTGATTAATAGTTAAAACTTTCCTTTGCTTCATCCAAAAATATTCACCAATAGGTAATTGTCCGTGAGCTATGCCTTCTTCGACAGCTTTATTATAGCATATGCCTTTGTGACCATTGTGGTCCACTAGACCTCCAATGATGTAAATTTTATTATCTTCTAGAGTTTGAATTACATTGTCACTATCGCTAGTTAAATAAACCAATTGGTCTTTGGGGAAAACATCCAAATAATGGTTTTCATGAAAATTAATATCCCAATTCTGATATCCATTATGTCTTTCCATTTCCTCTTTGCTTCTTCCCTTAAAGCCACTCAAGTGAAGTTGCATAGGTGCTAGTGCTCGTCTATTTTCAGTATAGACCCTTAAAATTTGCTTTATAGTTTTTGCCATATCTTTATCAATCATTAAATAGTCAAAACTTAAATCAATACAAACTGATATTTTACAAGGACTTGCTTCCATTTTTCTTCTTTTCAGCTCCTTACGACTTGGTCCTAAGTCGATATTATTTTGTTTCGCTAACTTGATTTTTTCTTTGATTTTCTGTTTTTCTTTCGCCCGCTTTTCCTTCTTTACATTCTGCCAATTCAGGAACTTTTTGTATTTCTTCATTTGCCTTTTTGTTAAATTCGTTATTTCAACTCCATTGAATAGTGTTGGTTCACTAGGTTCCGAGGCTTGTAAATTATTGTCTGATTGTCTGTTGGCGATATCTGTTACTTCACTATGATCCGTGGGTTCCATTTTATATCTATTTTCACTGTACTTCTATAATAAATATGTATTTTTGAATAAAATCATGAATTTGCTAAGCAACTATTTTAGTAGCAAAAATGTAGCTTCCAACCTTACTTTTTAGTTTTTACTTTCTTTTTAGGTGTTTTCTTTCCTGCTCCAGTATTGACACCAATCATTTTTTGTGCAGCTTTCCTGTTTCGAGAATTCGGGGTTCAGCGGCCGGATTATGAACATCCGATACGGAAAGATTCCGAGTGGAAGGTAAACTCGAAGCGTATACGCATCGTATTGAACGGAAAAGCGATTGCGAACACACGAATCGGCTTTGATCAGCTGTCCGCGATCACAATGGTAGAATGCGAAACCTCTCGCTGGAGGTGACGTCAGCTGCAGTCCTTTATTGTTGCGTTTACTATGCAAATGCATCATTCATCATTAATTGCATGGAATTGATGGGAAACTCGCAGTGTTTTTATGGATTATGATTATGAATATCTAAAGATGGCAACCATCTTTCGCTTTATATTCTGATATTTAGAAATGCAAAAATTAAATCATTATATAACAACCTTGTGTTTTTTGACAAACAGAGAATCATATTTATTATGAAACATTTGGCCAAGGGTGATTCTTATATTATCTATATACCGGGTGTCTACGAGATCAGTTTCGCGCTGGCATTTGGTGAGTTTTTTTTCGATGGCAAAGATTTTTGGTATGGAGTGTAGGTTTGAGTAATGTCATCTTTTGACATGTGTGTCAATGTTTGGTAACTTCCGGTTTGACCGCAAATGGTCCTAACTCCGTAATTTGGAATGGCATCCCAATAATTTTTCCACATTTTTGGTATCTGCGGTCATGATGTGTACGAAAACGTCAAATTTGAACATTTTTGAAGAAATTTCAGAACTCTGGATGAAAATTTATTTTTGAACAGGAAGTGACGGAGCGGTCTTAAAATTGTTATTTTCAACCAACACAATCGTGGAAAAATGCGAATACCGAGTTATTATCCTATGCTTGTTCTCCAAAGGTTTCCAAAGCTGAAAAAATCACATTTTTCGTGATAACTCAATGAAATCAGTGAAATCACCCGACTTTCATAACAAATGTTTTTTACCTTTTTCAAAATAAAACCAACTATGCATTAAAACTTTTTATTCATACCAGTTTTTAATTATTTTTCCAATATTTTTACTATGCATTACTATAACTGATAAAACTACTTATAAATAAACCCCTGTATTGAAACTCTGTATTTACAAATTCCCGAGATGTCAAACAATGACAAATAAACATATCTTGCCTCTTGCCCACAGATCTTGTCAATGGCTTGTCAAGAAAAAAAAAAACACCAGTGGCGAGTTCAGGAATGACACACTCAGTGTAAGTGTGACACCGGTGCGACGCAATAGCCGTTCATAAATGCTATAGGCACACCGAGTGCGCGCACTCTGTGCCGTTCAGAAAGTACTTTGGGCGCGCTCCAGGTGTCGCACCGGTCACACCATAATTTTTTGGTGTGGCTGCGGTGTGATTGTGTCTTTATGTCAACAATGTCAATGTTCCTCTCATAATCTCAATTATCCCATCAAATATAAACAAAACACAAATAAGAATTAAAGTTTGTCCTTCAAATTAAAAAAATTAACAACAAAAAAAGTAATCCTAATAGATTTTGTGAAATTTTCGAGGAGATGCTTGATTGGTCACACCAAGCGTTCAGAAATTCATACGAAAGTTGTCGTTTAACTCGTTTAAGAATTGTCATTTCAGTCACACCCATAAAATCGCACTCACACCCGGTGTGTTATTTCTGAACTCGCCCCAGCTCCTTTTGAAAAGCGTTCTTCATACAGGATACAGGGGTTCATTTATAAGTAGTTTTAACATTTATAGAATAGTCTGGCAAGTGGTAACTTGATAGAGACGAAAGGGGGAAGAAAAGTGGGGCGTGACGTAAAAATATTCACTGACACCTCAACTGACACCACCTGATGACAGCCATGTCTTTCGGTTCAGTGGCACCGAAAACACCAAGGAAATAAACCAATAAAATTATTACTTTAGTTTCGCCAATAACCACGCCACTGCGTGCTGTCGTTCAGACTCTAACCAATAGAATCATACCTCTGAATAATCACGCCTCTCCACATCCATCATTTCGCAATGTTGCCGGATTTTTTTCTATTTCAAAATACTACACATGCCCATATAGCAGAAAAAAACATGTCACTAACTTGTTTATCATTATTTCCCCCAAGTTTGGCAAAGTAGCAAATTCTATTGGAGATCGCCGTTTCGCTAGCCAGACAATAGGTAGTGCATTATAAAAATAATAAGAAAATAATTAAAAACCAACATAAATGAAAAGTTTCAATGCATAGTTGGTTTTATTTTGAAAAAGGTAAAAAACTCTTGTTGTGAAAGTTGGGTGATTTCACTGATTTTATTGAGTTATCACGCAAAATGTGATTTTTTCAACTTTGGATGCCTTTGGAGAGCAAGCAAAGGATAACATCTTGGCACTCGCATTTTTCTACTATTGTGTGGGTTGAAAATAACAAATTTAGGACCGGTCCGTCACTTTCTGTTCAAAAATAAATTTTCATCCAGAGTTCTAAAATTTCTTCAAAAATGTTCAAATTTGACGTTTTCGTACACATCATGATCCGTAGATACCAAAAAATGCGAAAAAATTATTGGGGTGCTATTCAAAAAACGGAGTTAGGACCATTTCCGGTCAAACCGGAAGTTACCAAACATTGACACACATGTCAAAAGATGACATTTCTCAAACCTACACTCCATACCAAAAATCTTTGCCATCGAGAAAAAAACCAGCAAATGCCAGTGCGAAACTGATCTCGTAGACACCCGGTATATAAAACACAGTTGTGTTTTGTGGAAGCACTTATAACTCGAGAACGGCTGGACTGATTTTTATGATTTTTGCTTTATTGGATTTGTCTTTGTCTATCCTAACATAATAAATCGAAAAAATCCCAAAAAAAAAAAACAAAACAAAAAAATTACCGAAAAGTCGGTTTTCGGCTTATTTGGACTTTATTTAATGAAATATCTAAATCAACAGCCAACGTTTCGACGCATTCCGCATCATTCTCAAGGCTAAAAGAAAACATGCAAAGAACGTTACAAGCATTTCACAACGATTAACATTTTAAAAATGACTGACAAAATAAATTAAGATTTAACAAAAAAAAAAAAAAAAAAAAAAAAAAAAAGAAGCATTTACAAAGGTTTAAAAAATAAATTAAAAAATGATGTATAAAAAATAAATTAACATTTAAAAAGTTTCAACAATGACTATTACATAACAAGAGATAAGTAAAATGAGTTTCACAAATTATATTTTTGAAAAACTATCAATCCAGACAACACAGAACCAATTACCTAATTTGACTAATAAAAACGTCGTATTGTTATCTACAAAATACCTTACCAAAGTTTACCTTACCTAGATTATTAAAGCTATGAATCGCATCATTCGGACCGATTCATCAATAACAACAAACAAAAAAGTTCACACACCAAAGAGCGGTACTATTGCTTGCCGTGCTGTTTCGGTACTACTTTTTCATATCGATCTGCATTGGTACGTAAAACTAAATTATTGATAATG